CACGAGCAAAAAGAGTGGCAGGCACAAGCGCTACAGCTTCGTTTACTCGTCAAGTCAAGGCCCGATGACTCTTAAGGTCCAGGACTTAGTCAAACCAAGCAAATTTGTTTATGCAAGTCATGGGGGTAATGCGAAGGCGCTCTGTGGGAAGCTAACGAGAACTAAATGAGCGCCTTGTAATGCTCTTTACCGTTCTGAGAGCAATGAAGGCCTTTAGTGTTGGGCAAATCAGCAAGGAATTATTCTTAACAGTAGAGCAAGATGTCAAGTTATGTTTATATCTTTGTTACGGCAGATTTGTTAGCTGTAGTGAGGCATCTAGTATTGGGTACAGAATTTGTCTACTGAATTTTTACTTGTACCCTGTCTCCCGTGGGTCATCCCACGTTCCCTCTGTCATAATGGTGAATAACCAACAACAAGGAGATACAAGTAGTAAACCTTCACTGGGGTTGTACTCTATACAGAGCACCTCACTCAAGCCTAAGAACATATAAACATGTTTTGACACGCCTGTAAGCAAAGTGAGGGATAGCCAACACAACAAACGGTCAAAAGACCAGTCAGGCAAGAGAACAACATCGCGGAAAAGGAAAATGTCGAAATTGGGGGTCCGAAGGTTTTTCTGCGAAAAGATTGCAGTTTAGTTGCGACAAGTGTACAAAAAACAACGTGCCCAAATCGCAAGTTTCCGCACACCATTTGCGAGGCGATTCGCGGACACAAAAGAGTCACCCGAAAGTGCCCTAAACATCGCTTCCACCCCAACCATTTACTTTCCGAACTTCCAGCTCCAACGCACTTCTCACTCACCTACGCATAGTTGTTATTTCCGTCTTAGCTCTGCTTTACCGCCACCCTGTCTTTCCGTTTTCCGCTTCCATCCTCCCAACCGCACACTTCGGGTTCAACTCCTTGTTCACTTCCTAATAACATTCTAACCTTCGTGCGTTTATCTTTCGCTTCTAAATCCCATCCACAAACACCCCTCCCCGTCCCCTTTCCAACTTTCAGACGGCATCTTCGTGCCCCAGCTGATATACGCATGGGATGATCCAGATCGCGACCGCCATGTTCCGCATCGGCTTCGTCATCGACATTTCGAGCGACGCCATCATCGTCGGTTTCGTAACGGGTGACGCCATCAACGACGCCATGTAGCAGCTGCGCAGGCTACTGGTTTTGGGTCATCTTGTCGTCAACGTGAGATGGACGCCACCGGTAACGGCTGTAAGTGACTTTCGATGGTGTTCTACGATGCTGTTTGCCTAGATGCGATTTTCTGTTTATTCCCTTTTTGATCCTTTCCCCCATTGCAGCTTTTGAGATTATCTCGGGAACTTCCAGCACTTGGAACTTTGTCGTCGGACCTGTATCGGCGCAGCAAAGTTTTTTGCGTCACCGTGCACCTGTTTTCACTATCTCCCTTTCCCACGCCCCCTTCCTCACGTCTATATTGTCAAACTTATATGCTATAGTCTATGTAGGCTGTAGTGGGGTAGACAATATGGGGTACAACATTTCTAGGTTTTCCTACTTATACCCACCTGCTTGCTAGTTCATTCATTCCTCATTTCTTCACATAGTATAGAGCAGGTTCCCTAGTGGGAACGCTTTCTAGGGCCCACCACTGAAATCGATTTTTTTTTTTCTGACCGGAGCGCGAGTCGCCCCTCCCCGAGGCGCGCCCCGTGGGCCGCCCTCTTGTCGAGCCCTCCTAGAGGCCCCTCTCACGGCCCCTCGCGCCACCCTTAGCGGCCCCATCGCCACCCCTAGCGGCCCCGTCGCCGCCCTTCTAGGCCCCTCGGCCCCTTCGCGGCCCCGTCGCCGCCCCTAGCGGCCCCGTCGCCGCCCTTCCAGGCCCCTCGCGGCCCCTTCGCGGCCCCGTCGCCGCCCTTCGAGGCCCCTAGCGGCCCCGTCGCCGCCCCTCGCGGCCCCTACGCGGCCTCGTCGCCGCCCCTAGCGGCAGCTACGCGGCCCCGTCGCCGCCCCTAGCGGCCCCGTCGCCGCCCCTCGCGGCCCCGTCGCCTCCCCTCGCGGCCCCGTCGCCGCCCTTCGCGGCCCCGTCGCCGCCCCTAGCAGCCCCGTCGCCGCTCTTCCCGGCCCCGTCTCCACCCTCTAGCGGCCTCGTCGCCGCCCTTAGCGGCCCCGTCGCCGCCCCTTGCGGCCCCGTCGCCGCCCCTTTCGGCCCCTCCCCGGCCCCTTCACCGCCGAGCCGCCGAGCAGCCCAGCAGCCGAACAGCCGAGCAGCCGAGCCGCCGAACCGCCGAGTCGCCGAGCCCCCGAGCAGCCGACCCGCCGAACCGCCGAGCCGCCCAGCCGCCCAGCAGCCGAGCCGCCGAGCCGCCGAGCTGCCGAGCCGCCGAGGCCGCCGTCGAGCCGCCACTACCGAGCCACTGCCGAGCCGCTGCCACCGCGGTTGCCGCCCTGTTCCTTCCGGCGCGCCCCGGCCCTACCCACCCGGACTGATGAGAGCACTCCCTTCTAGACCACTGCTGTCATGGCTACCCCCAGTGTCCTTACCTTTGATGCTGAGGGTCGTGCTGTTGACTTCGAGGTCTGGGTCGATGACCTACAGCTCTTCCTACAGTGCGATAGGGCAGACGGACTCTCCCTGTTCGATCTCACCTCTGGTGCCTCTCCTGCCCCGCCTGCTGATGCTGACAGCACTGTCCGCTCACAGTGGGCCACACGCGATGCTGCTGCCCGTCTTGCTGTGCGTCGCCACTTACCGACCACTGAGCGTGCGCACTTTAGTCAGTACAAGAGTGCTAAGACCTTGTACGACGCTGTAGTTGCACGCTACTCTTCCCCTGCCACTGCTGCCCTTAGCCGCCTCATGCTGCCGTACCTGTTCCCTGACCTCGCCGCCTTTTCCACTGTCGCTGACCTCATTACGCACCTTCGCACTAGTGACACCCGCTACCGCGCTGCGCTTCCTGCTGAGTTCTGCGCCAAGAACCCCCCCCCCATGTACATCACCCTCTACTACATAGTCACCCAGCTCCCTGACTCCCTTCGCTCGGTCAGGGACCACTTCCTCTCTGTTTGCCCCACCACACTCACCGTTGACCTCCTCGAGGAGCGCCTCCTGGCAGCTGAGAAGAGTATAGTAGCTGTAGGAGCCTCTCGTGGTGACCCTCGTGCCCCCTTCTTTGAGGGTTGCTCCCCCTCCCCCTGTTGCCCTCTGTTGCCTCTGCTGCTGCCGTCGACCTCGTTGGCTTCAAGTCGGTCGGAGCTGCGTCTGCCCCTAGCGGGAGACGCCGCACCGGCAAGGGCAAGGGGGGCAAGGGCGCTGGAGGGGCTGGCGGGGGCGGTGGAGGTGGCGGTGGAGGCAGTTGAGGGGGTGGGGGTGGTGGTGGGAGTGGTGCCGGGGGTGGAGGTGTCGGTGGCAGCAGTGGAGGCGGAGGAGGCGGCGGCGGTGGCGGTGGGAGCGGCGGCGGCAAGGGTGGCGGAGGTGGCGGCGGCAGCGGTGGAGCTGGTTGGGGCTCTGCGCAAAGGAGTGGCTCCGGGGGTGGTCCGCGCAAGCTGCAGCAGCGCACTCGTGAGACCCCGTGCCCCGAGCAGCTTCGTGAGTGGTACGCTGGGCGTCAGCGAGGTGGGGGTACTGGTCCCTGCACCTACGTCCTCCGTACCGGCGACCGCGCTGGTGAGCAGTGCGGGGGCTCGCACTCCACCCAGCGCTGCTTCGGCCGCCTGACGGACGCTTGGCGTCACCAGTTCCCTGACGCCACTGAGATCCCTCGCTGGGGAGAGCTGTCTAGGGCGGGGGTTGCTATCTTTGATCTTGATTATGATGCTATTCTCGCTGCCATGTATGCTGTGTCTACTAGTGATGAGGGTGACTATTACCTGTGTGTTCCGCCTAACCCGGGCATTGAGGCTGCTGCTCTAGGTGCTGGTGAGGCTGCTGCTCTAGGTGCTCGTGCGTCTGCTGCCCCAGGTGCTGGTGAGTCTGCTCTCTCAGGTACCACGTCGGCTCAGGCCTTAAACACCTTCACCCTTGACTCGGGTGCTTCCCGCTCCTTCTTTCGAGACCGCACCACGCTTACGCCGCTTAGTCGGCCGGTTGCGGTCTCCCTGGCGGACCCCTCTGGGGGTCCTGTCCTTGCTTGCTTCTCCACTGTCTTACCGTGTCCGGCAGCCCCCTCTGGCACCCTGTCAGGTCTCTACCTCCCCTCGTTCTCTACGAACTTGGTGAGTGGTGCTGACCTACAGGATGGGGGGGTTGACCAGTTCACTCCTGCGGGTCAGCGGGTGACCCACTGTACGTGTGCTCGGACGGGCCGACACTTGGCCACGTTTACCCGTCGGCCGTGGTCGAGCCTGTACACACTGACTACTGAGTCCCCTCCGGTTGCTGAGTCTGGTCAGGTAGCTGCGTCGAGTCAGGTGTTTGCTGCAGCGTCCAGGTCTGGTCCTGAGTCTGCTCCCTGCTCGTGTCGTCTCCTGTCCCACCAGACTCTCCTCTGGCACCACCGTCTTGGTCACCCCTCCCTGCCTCGTTTCCTCGTGTCCTTATCTCTGGTCTCCCCCGGTCCCTCCCTCCCCTCCCTCCGGGGCCTGCCCCTACCTGCGTTCCCTGCGTCGAGGGGCGGCAGCGCGCCGCCCCTCACTCCTCCGAGTTTCCTACGACAAAGGCTCCGCTGCAGACTCTTCACATGGACGTGTGGGGCCCCGCCCGCGTCCGTGGCCAGGGTCACGAGCGTTACTTCCTGTTGGTGGTTGACGACTACTCGCGTTACACCACGGTGTTCCCCTTGCGCAGCAAGGGTGACGTCACTGGGGTGTTGATCGACTGGATCCGCGCAGCTCGTCTCCAGCTCAGAGAGAGTTTCGGCTCGGACTTTCCGGTTCTGCGTCTGCACTCTGACAGAGGCGGGGAGTTTTCCTCTGCCCTTCTGGGAGCCTTCTGTTGTGCACAGGGCATCCGCCAGACCTTCACGCTTCCGGCCTCTCCACAGCGAAATGGGATTGCTGAGCGCCGCATTGGCATGGTCATGGACGTCGCTCGTACGTCCATGATCCATGCGGCTGCTCCCCATTTTCTGTGGCCGTTTGCGGTTCGGTACGCAGCGCATCAGATCAACCTTCAGCCCCGAGTCTCCTTGCCGGAGACCTCCCCCACCCTGAGGTGGACGAAGAAGGTTGGCGATGCGTCTGCATTCCGTGTCTGGGGATCTCGGGCGTTTGTCCGCGACTTGTCTGCGGACAAGCTGTCCCCCCGTGCGGTTCCCTGCGTCTTCCTTGGCTTCCCCCCTGACGCGCCTGGTTGGCAGTTTTACCACCCCACCTCGCGCCGTGTTCTGTCCTCCTAGGACGTCACGTTTTACGAGTCGGTGCCTTACTACCGTCTCTTCCCCTACCGCACTGCGCCCCTCCCCCCGCCGCTGCTCTTCCTTGCGCCAGGTCCCCCCCCGGTAGACCCCCTCCCCCCTCAGGGTCCTGCCCCGTCAGGTGTGTCCCAGGTAGACGAAGTCGAGCCTGTCGAGGTAGCTGTTGACTCTGGTGCTGCTAGGGGTGCTGAGCCTGCGGGTGCTGAGTCTAGGGGTGCTGAGTCTGGGGGTGCTGAGCCTGGGGGTGCGAAGCCTGGGGGTGCGGAGCCTGGGGGTGCAGAGCCTGGTGGTGCTGAGCCTGGGGGTGCAGAGCCTGGGGGTGCTGGGTCTGCTCGTGTGGCCTCTGGAGGTGCTTCGTTGAGGCGGGAGATCCCCTCTCCGCAGGAGCTGCGCGAGTGGTTTGCCCGGCGCTGGAGCCGTGCTGCTGGAGCTGGAGGTGCTACGGTTGCTGCTGACCCTGGGGTCGGCACTGGAGCTACTGGAGCCACTGGTCCTGGAGGTGCTCGTACTGGCGGTACTGGAGCTGCTGAGACTGGGGGTGCTGCTGGGGCTGCTGGAGTTGGTCCTGCTGGAGGTACTGCGGGAGCTGCTGGCGGTATTGGAGCTGGCGGTCCTACTGGAGTTGGTGCTGCTGGTACTGCTGGAGCTGCTGGAGCTGGAGCAGCTGGGGGTGTTGGCGCTGGAGGTGCTGCTGGCGCTGGTGCGTCTGAGGGTGCTGGAGTTGGCGCTGTTGGAGCTGGAGGTGCTGCTGGCGCTGGTGCTGCCGCTGGGGGTACTGGTACTGTCCCTGCTGGTTCTGGAGGCGCTGCACGGCCGCGGCCGTACTTCGTTCCGCTCCTTACTGGTCCTGCTCCTCCCTTAGAGTGTCCACAGCCTGTCTGGTCGCGGTCACAGTTACAGCCCGCCTCCCCCCTACCTGCTCCTTCTCCCTACACTGGTCCTACTGGAGGTCTTGCTGAGCGTCGTGAGCCTGCGTCTCGTCCTGCGTCGCCTGTTCGTGCTGCTCGCACTAGTAGTCGTGCTCCGCGTCCGCGTCCTCCTGCGGTCCCAGGCACACACCGGATGGCACTGTGTCCTTCCACTGCTCCTCTGCGTGTTCCGTTGCCGTCTCCTCCAGAGTCGTCTCTTCCTGTCCTTGCTGACCCGGAGTCTGACTCTCGTCGTGCTGCCAGTCCTACTGTCACGCGTCTCCTGGCTACTGTTGTCACTGACCCTTCCTTTGAGTCCACTGCTGCGTCAGCCTTAGTTGCTGAGCTTGTCGACTTTGCTGCTCGCTGTCGTCTAGACTACGCTGCTAGTCTCTTGAAGGTGTTTCCAGTTCTATGGATTAATCACTTCCTGGTGACCGTTCATTGGATTATGTTTGCAGCTTTCATTCGTGATTGTTGAAGCTGTCCTACGTTTCCAGCTCCTAGTTAATGTTGCGACCAAGCCTGTCGCAACCGCATCTCAGTCGACGCACAATGCACTGGTTGGGTATGTGTCGTTTGGTGAGTTGCACACTCGTTCACCACTAACCCCGCTGGAGCAATGTCTGTGCGCATGCGTAACAGCAAGGTTTGCATGTTTTGCAGGGAAAACATTTTTCTAGCAGGTTTATCCACATGCAGTGCGCTAAGTACTATTTCACCCATTCCTGCACACTTCTAACCACAAAGGGAGTATCTGGTGAGTGCTGAACTGCATACTTGAAGTTTAGGTTGTACAAGCTTTACTATGCTATCTTTTTTGCAGGCAATATCAACATGTAGCACTTAGACGGTGGTTGTAATTTTCAGCTGTGTGTTAAGATACTAAGTATGGGTGGGCTTAGGAGCCATAGGTTTAGTAGCTTAGTGATCGAGTTCGAGGGTAAGGAGAAAGTGTCGAGAAAGTTGAGAGGGGAGAATGATGTTCACTATAGCACAAGAGTACATATAGCAAACAGAGCATGCAAGGTGCACCACCAACTAGAAAGTTATATGACTACAGTATTCTACACTACAGGCAGTTATAGAACAATATATAGAATTATATATTGGTCTGACACGCCCCCATGAGTGCCTGTAGGGAAGAATGTGCAGTCAACGCCCCCTGAAGGGGTACACCAAGCGCAGGAGAAGGAGAGGGGAAGTGAGGAGGAGGAGGGACTGTGACAGGAGAGGAGATGGGAGGCGACGGCTGAAGCTGCAGACACACGGGCAACAGGAGTCACACTGGCACAGCGGCTACCGGAACAGCGCCCTGGACTACTGGAGTAACTGGCTCCGCGGCTAAGACGAGCGGCAGGAGCAACGGACCCACGGGCGACTGGCGCAGCTGGCTACGACTGGGCTACCGGAGCAGCGCCCCGGACTACTGGTGCTGCTGACAACACGGCGGCCACCTCCACTCAACCTCCCCCACCTGTCCCACACTCATCACCCCCACACCCGCCACCCCCATACCCATCACCCCCACACCCGCCACCCCCATACCCACCCCCCCACGGCTGCACCGGGTCCAGGAGCGGCTGCTGCAGTGGCGGCTGCTCCAGGGGCGGCTGCTCCAGGGGCGGCTGCTCCAGGGGCCAGGGGCGGTTCCTGCTGCAGTGGCGGCTGCTCCAGAGGCCAGGGGCGGCTGCTGCAGGGGCGGCTGCTCCAGGGGCGGCTGCTGCAGGAGCGGCTGCTCCAGGGGCGGCTGCTGCAGTGGCAGCTGCTCCAGAGGCCAGGGGCGGCTGCTGCAGGGGCGGCTGCTCCAGGGGCGGCTGCTGCAGTGGCGGCTGCTCCAGGGACGGCTGCTGCAGTGGCGGCTGCTCCAGGGGCGGCTGCAGTTGCAAGGCAGGCCCGCGCGCTGTTGCAAAGCAGGCGCGGGCACAGGGGAGGCAGAGGCGGCGGCCAGGGGGGGGGAGGGGGCCGCGACGAGCAGGTGACGGGGCCACTAGGGGCGGCAACGGAGCCGTGAGGGGCGGCGACTGGGCCGAGAAGGGCGGCGACGGGGCCGCTAGGGGCGGCAACGGGGTCGCTAAGGGCGGCGACGGGGCCGAGAAGGGGCGGCGACAGGGCCGCGAAGGGGCCGCGAGGGGCCGAGAAGGGCGGCGACGGGGCCGCTAGGGGCGGCGACGGGGCCGCTAGGAGTGGTGACAGGGCCGATAGGGGCGGCGACAGGGCCGCGAAGTGTGGCGACGGGGCCGCTAAGGGTGGCGCGATGGGCCGGGAGAGGAGCAGCGACGGGGCCGCGAAGAGGCCGTGAGGGGCCGAGAAGGGCGGCGACGGGGCAGGAAGACGCCGCGCGCCCAGGGCGCACGGCGGGCGGGCGCGTGGCGGGAAGAAAAAAGGTGTTGCGCACGAGCGCCATGGCAGGAGCGACGAGCGCCATGGCAGGAGCGATATGCGGTGGGCCCATGGGAAAAAAAAAATATAGGTCCTAGGATAGGAACCACTTTGATAACATGTTAAGATACTAAGTATGGGTGGGCTTAGGAGCCATAGGTTTAGTAGCTTAGTGATCGAGTTCGAGGGTAAGGAGAAAGTGTCGAGAAAGTTGAGAGGGGAGAATGATGTTCACTATAGCACAAGAGTACATATAGCAAACAGAGCATGCAAGGTGCACCACCAACTAGAAAGTTATATGACTACAGTATTCTACACTACAGGCAGTTATAGAACAATATATAGAATTATATATTAGTCTGACACTGTGATGTAAGATGTTTAGTTCTGGTGCTTGGAGAAGATAGTAGGTGCCGGAGCGAAGATAGTAGTCTGTATGAAAACGTTGTATTTTTCAATATTAAGACATATGTGCCCAGAAATATGGAGGTTGTATCGAAACGGGAAATGTAAAACAATCCCAGTCACCAGCCAATAGGAAATCGTTTCCACACACTGAAATGCCCTCTGATTGGTCCACAAGTTGCCCTCATGGGCGTCGATTTCAATCTGATCCGACAGCTGCCGTTAGAGAACGTTGTCCGCCACGTCAGCAAGTTTGAGTTTCATCTACAGTACGTCGTATGCCACGTGGCGTTGTCGTGACACTTTCGCGTAGGTTGCTCAAGAGTGACGTTTTCCACCTCCCTAGTTGCATTACCGTATACCTCACAATTGCACCGAAGTGTACAGTTTGTGTTGGGAATGTGACGGGAAAGTCACTTCGCAAGTTACTGACGCTACCACAGTTTTCGAGTCAGACTTTTTTCTTGCGCGGGAAATGCAACTGGAAAGTTACGAAACAGTAGCTTTTAGGTTTTATTCGCACTTCCCTTTTCCGCGATGAAAGCAATGCAAAGCCCAGGGTGGATCTCAAGATCACCACGCATCCTGACCACAAAGCCAGTTCACATGCAGAATAAAAGGGGCATGTTCCTACGGCCCCTTATCAGGCCAACCTTTTATCAGGCTCGCGTCAAAACACATAGGAATTTCCCAAAAACCCAAAAACCCTTGCGAAGTTTACCAAGCGAGCCTGACAAGAGGTTTGCCTGATAAGAGCGTAGGAACATGCCCTAATAGCAAGACAGTACAATGATTACAGCCTATCAACTCTAAACATGCAGGTATAAATATATATATCAGTGTACAACAAGTGCAAGATCAAGAGACAAGCAGGTGAGGCGGAGTGGGCATAAGCCCAAGGGCAGTGAATAAACGCTGATGATCACCAGACCCGAGGGCCTTGGTGAAGACATAAGCAATGTTGGCCCAAGAGGCCACGTAGGAAAGGCGAAGCTGACCACGCTGCTGCAGCTCTCGAGCAAGAAAATAGCGAAGAGCAATGTGCTTCGTTCTGTGCTCCAGTCTCTGCTCGTGACACATGGCAAGCTTGGAATGTTGTCGACGTACAGAACTAGAGGAGAACGAGGCCGCTCCCCCAAGTTGGTCAGCAGGTAGGTTAGCAAGCGTAGCTCTTGTGCAGCCATAGCCCCAGTGTAGATTTCGGCCTCACAGGTGGAACCAAGCACAGAAGACGAACGAGTGGACCTCCAGGAGACAGAACCAGAGCCAAGACTGAAAGTGTAGCCCTGTGACGACCGCTGAGTCGCCTGGTCGTCGGCCCAGGAAGCGTCTGAGTGACCTGTGAGTACCACTGAGTCCTGTCCTCCAAGCACAAGCCCCAAGTAACGCAGTACCCTCTTTGCAGCATCCCAGTGCACCTTTCGGTGTCTATTGGGAGCCACATAGAGAGCCAAGAGGCTGAGAGGGTACGCGAGGTCAGGTCGTGTGCACGTCATCAAGTATATGAGGCAACCTACAAGCTCTGGATATGGACCACTCGTCTCTACAGACTTGTCCGAAGGTGGAGCTGAGAGCTAGTGGCCTGTAGGCAGAGGAGTGGGTTGTGGCGAGAACCACGTAAAGCCGAAGCGCTGAAGGACCTGCTGCACCATGAGTGACTGAGTTAGGGTGATGGTGCGCCGTGCTCTGTCCCGGGTGATCTGCAAGCCAAGATAGCTCTGCGGCTCATTTAGGTCAGTGCAGATGTGTCTCTTCTGCAGCTCCACCTTTACTAGGGCCAGTGCCTCAGTGTCAGCAGTAGCAAAAACCAAGTCGTCGATGTATACGAGAACGTAGAACGGCGGCAGAAAAGTGTCGGTGCGTAGAAACAACGACGGGTCAGCAGAGGAAGGAGCAAACCTAAGAGCCGCAAGTGTCGTCCTCAGTGTGTCGTGCCACTCTCGGGGCGCCTGGCGGAGACTATAGACTGGCCGCCGGAGGCTCCACTAAGTACCCTCAGGAAATGACCCAGTGAAGCCAGGTGGGCAACGCAACCAGATCTCCTCGTGAAGGCTGCCTTGTAAGAAAGTTGTGGAGAATTCGAGGGAGTGCAGCTCGTAGTCACGTTGTGCTGCAACGTGCAGCAACACCCGAAGAGTAGTCATCTTTGGGGTGGGGGAGAAGGTCTGGAAGAAGTCCACCCCCTGTCGCTGACTGAAGCCTCGAGCAACATAACGCGCCTTGAAGGCAGGCTAAGAACCCGACGGCCGCTTCACCCTGAAAATCTACATGCCATCGACTATGTTCGCCCCAGGAGGAGGAACCTTGTCGACATAGGTGCTTGTGTACTTCCAGGAAGCCATCTCTACGTCCATGGCTGTCTGCCACTGAGAGGAAGACACTCAAGCTCAATTTGCTTGTCCTCAAGAACGTCACTGCTAAAGGCACGCTCACCCCCGATGGGCGGAGGACAGACATACTCAGACACAGAAACAAGACTCGCGACGTAGTCGAGATGACTCCTATCAGCAAAGTCAACTAGCTTAGTGACTAGGGCAAACGCAGCAGTAGACTCAAAGGAAGGGTCAATGACAACAGTGGCGAGGAGACGAGTATGACGGCGGGTCAAGAACGTCAGGAAGGTCAGTCAGGGAGTCGGTCACCTAACTGTAGGGAGAAGGAGCAGGTAGCAGGGAGGCGGGTGGTAGCTATGGT